TCCGCCATGACCCTGCCCTGACCCTGCCCTTACTCCCGTTTCAGCCCAGCTCTGACCCTGGCTGTAACTACTATGCTCTACAACTGAAACTAATATAATATTGAATATCAACTGTAATTGAAAAATATTTAATTTAATTTAAAATGAACAAAGTAAATAAATAATGATGTTTAAACCACTTAGTCTGTGGTATTGTGTTACAATAGCCTGAGTTTATGAAGACAGAGAACTCATAAGATGGTATAATATACATGTCTCTGGGTTCTAGAAATAAAGACTAGAGAGGAGGAGGAGACTCAACATCCGAAAGATAGTCCTGTGTTCTCGATTGATGAAGAATGTGTATTATCAGTTAATGAAGCAGAAGAGATCTCATGAAACTAGCCACACCTCTTGAAACTGTAGAACTCAAAAGACAGAGGACAATCTTAAAATCAGTTAGCAAGGAAGATGTTCACCTACAAAGAAAGGGTTATTAAAATGATGGCATAATTTTTAATAGCAGTCACAAAAAGCATATTAGACGTAATACTTTTTCAAAACACTTGAATGGAAAAACTTTGCTTTAGAACTGATTATCCTGTAATATTATAATTCATAAAAATTCAGCAACAAGATATAAATTATTTTTAACATATACACATAATGTGAAGTTCTATATAACTCAAAAATTTAAATAACATCTAAAATATATCAATTTATTACCCTTAAGTCAAAATGTTGAAAGATTGCTGTTGATACATCAGTGGGTGGGACTGATCCTCAGGCGTACTGGCTGAGGATTGGCCATGAGAACAGTGAACAAGCTGTTGTACCGGGGCTGACTACACAGAATAAGATTTGCTTTAGTAGGGCTGTGGTGCTATCCAAGTCCATCTTCTCAGTGTGTCTTTTGTGGTGCTGATTGGGTGGTACTCTGGTGTGGTCTAAAGCGAGCCACCAGGTGTGTTGATTTTGGGGTCTCTTGAAGGAGGCTATGGTGCAGACTCTTGTCAGTTGCTTCCTGAGTTTATCCCTGGGCCACCTGTTGGGTGCTACAAGGTGACCTGTGGTTGGTAACTGCCTCTGCTGGGCTTAGAGGCACCTGGGAGAGGCTTTGCTGTGGACCGAGGCCAGCTGCAACTAGTGCCACGCTGAGGACCTTTTAGCAAGAGGTATAGGGCTCATTAAGACCCACCACTACTTATTTGGAGTTTGTGACCTTTGGTAGATTTTAGGAAAATCAGCATTGTGGTCCCAGGCCAATGGCTTGTGTGGATTCACTTCTGAAAGGAGTTCTGATTGGTCCATGAATCGGGTGAGGCATGGCTCAGAGAATCATCAGTGTAGAGGGAGAGCTGTGTTATCCACGTTAATGGAGACTGGGATTTGATGCTGGCTTTCACCTACAGGCTGTATGTGTAGGGACCAAGGACTTCACAAAAGAACAATGGCACCTGCCAGCACTTTAGTCCCTGAGAGAGCTGTCCCTCCAACCCTTGCCTCAAAGCCAGATAATTTGGTTCATCCCCATATGTCCCTGGTGCTTTTTTAATTCCTGTCCCTTCACCAGAGTTTAGGGCTTGTGTTTGTGAGCAGGTGAGTCTGTGCTCGGGTCCTTTAAGAGGATGTTTGGGTCTAGCGCAGCCCTGCGCCTCACAAGGACTGAGTCCCTGATGACTTTCACAGCTAGCTGTTGTGGGGACTCCTCTATCTAACACTGGCACTCTAGGCTGGGGAGCCTGATATGGGGCTGGGACTCCTGACTCTTCAGGGCGTCTCCACAGCAGAAATATTCCTCTCAATTCTTAATGGCCACATGTGGGTGTAGGGCTAACCATTTTGTGTCTCTGCCACTCCTATTAGTTTCAACGTGGGTTTTTCTTTATATCCTTAGTTATAGACCTGTTTGACTAGTCTTCAGGTGGTTCTCAAGGATGGTTGTTCCATAATTTAGTTGTAATTTTAATGTGGTCATGGAAGGAGGCAAGCACAGTGTTTTCCTGCTTCTCCATCTTGACCTGAAGAGCAACATTATTTATTAAACAAACACTTATTTCTCACAGTTCTCAAGGCTGGAATTTCAAGATCAAGGTGCCAGCAGACTCTAATGTCCAAAATTTTTCTTTCAATTTCTCAGACTCTTTCTTTTCTGTACCACATTTGCATGAAATAACAAAGAATCTTAAAAGCAGCAAGAGAAAAGCTAGTTACCTACAATGGAGATCTCATAAGACTGTCAGCCGACTACTCAATAAAAACTTTGCAGGCCAGAAGAGACTGGCACCAAATATTCAAAGTGACGAAAAGCAAGGAGCTGCAACCAAGGCTGCTGTGCCCAGCAAGGCTGCCATTTAGAATCAAAAGAAAAATAAGGAGCTTCAAGAAAAAGCTGAAAGAGTTCATCACCACTAAACCAGTACTGCTGAATGGGAGAATGTATTCACAAATGGTATTCAATAAGAGGTTAACATCTAAGATATATAATAATTATACAACATACCACGAAAAAAGCAAACAATCCAGTTAGAAAACAGACAGAGGACCTGAGTAGACATTTCTCCAATTAGGACATACAGATGGCCATCAGACATATCAAAAGATGCTCTCTATCACTACTCATCAAAGAAATGCATATTAAAACCACAATAAGATATCACCTCACACCTGTCAACAAATAACAAGTGCAGGCAAGAATGTGGATAAAAGAGAAGCCTCATGCACTGTTGTTTGGATTATAAATTGGTACAGCCAATCTGGAAAACAGTAAGGAAATGCCTCAAAAATTAAAAAATACATCTATCATATGATCCAGCATTCCACCTCTGTGCATCTATCAGAAAAAATTAAAACACTAATTCAAAAAGATATTTGCACCCTTATGTTCATTGCAGCATTACTAGTAATAGCCAAGATATGGAAGCAACCTAGATGTCTAACTATAGATGGATGGATAAAGTAATCGTACATATATACAAAATGGAATATTATCAAGCAATGAAAAATAATGAAATCCTGTTATTTGCAAAAACATGGGTGGACCTAGAGGGTATTATACTAAGTGAAACACATCCGACAGAGAATGATAAAAACTATATCATTTCACTTAAGTGTGGAATCTAAAAAAAAAAAAGGGAAATATTAGAAACAGACCCATAGATATAGAGAACAAGCTCATAGCTGATAGTTGGCCAAAAATTCTTATAAATACTAAATCTATCAATTAATGAACTTGATATAATGTTCCACTTTGTAGGCATTTAATTAAACATTTATTCATTTTGGAATAAATTAATTTCTATCCTAAAAAATAAAAATATATTATTATATTATGTACATATTAACATATTTAAAAGTAAATAAATAAATACTATGTTTCCTGATACTGTTGCCTCAGCTTTCTTTTCCTTTTTATTTACATGAAAATATATAATTTCAACTCTCTTTAACCTTTCTTTCTCACTTAGTGGGGAGGAAAGCAGAGAAGCTTTTGTGAAGGAGACATTATGTGGCACAGCCCCATTAAGGACTGAGCCTTAATCATAGGGTATCACATTTTCTTCCCCCACACATCACCATGAGGAAAGAGTTGGCATGAATAAAAACACAAGATTGCAGCTGTAAGAACTGCAGCGATCAAACTCATTTTACAAATTTTTTGGCAAGCCAAAGACAATAAGCACATAAAACAAAGACACTGTAGAAAACCGAAGCCTCAGAAGCTACACTGACAATCTTCCAGGACCAAACAGGAATTACAACTAAAATATAGAAAAAACATCCTGAATAATCAACTGAAGACTAGCTGTAGAGCACCTTCATAACCAAAAACCTAAAGTGGAGACCACATAGGCACTAGTAGGAAGTGCGGAGGTGAGAGAGGGCTGGCTGGGTTCCCAACGGCAGCAGCTGAAGTTTGGAAGGATATCTCAGCTGTGAGGTGTTCCCAGTGAGAACTCTGGGGTCTAAGCACCAAACCAGGCTTCCCAGCCCAGAGCACCAGAACTAAGAAAGGTGCCCGCATAATGTCTAGCTGTGAAAAGCAGCAGGGTTTCTGTCTGCCAGAGAGAGATGGCTGGAAATGCAGGCACCCTCTTAAAGGGCCAATGCACAAAGTTTTGTGTGCAGCCACTCACCTTGGACTCTGGCAGAGTGGACTAGAGCGGTGTGAGAAAAACCCAGGATTTCGGACTCTGGAGATGGAACTCAGAGGGGGGGGCTATCTGGATTCCTGTGCTGAGTCATTCTCCAATGCTGCAGAGGACATCTTGCTCGGGAAGATTTTGCCTGCCAGCCAGCTTTTGCATGGGCAGGGGGCAGGGAATTAATTGCCACGCCTATTGGAAAACCTCTCCCCCCACCCTATGAAGTTTACCCTTTGCTGCAGTCTGCATC